ACTCTCGTGTTTCTTGTACATAATGTGTTTCATATTTCCTTATTGTGGAAGTATATTGCTACTAAGGCTAATAAGGTTGTCATAGACCTCATAAATGTTCAACCTAACCTGACATTTGTGAATGAACTAGAAAGAATCAAAATTATGATGTGAAACAGCTTAAGAGCAGAGAGATTACTTTTGTGTATTAGTGAAGCATGGAATTGAAAAGATGCCACATGAGAGAAGGAATCAGAAATGAGAGAAATACATCCTCACATGTTATATTAAGGTATGAACTATATTCTTATACTTTAAAATTTGAGGATGAAATTTTTATAAGTGAAGATCGTAATAATAATCTTTATTTTAAAAATTTTAAATAATTATAAAAAAATGAAAATGAATTTAATTTATTTGTTACGACCCCTGTGGTTTCACAGGTCGTTCGAATGAAACGATTTTTCGTCATCTCCTCACATTCGAACTCAACAGAGGAGTCGAGAGAGACAGGGAGAACGAGAGCAAGCCAGAGGAAGCCGTGAGAGAAAGAGAGAAGAAAAGGCAGAGGAGGGGGAAGAGGAGGAGAAGACGAAGACAAGCAGCGTTTCCCTCCACTCACGATCGAATGTGACAGAGCTCGAGGGGCTTTGTCAAGTGTTTGCGAGCAGTCAGTGAAAGGAAGGAGGATCTCGCACAGCTCCAAAGATTCGAATAAAGCTTCATGCTCCGATCAAAGTCCTTCGTCCCTAGCTCTTCGGTAGACAAGAGGAGAGGATCAGCGAATTTCCCCTTAGCGTGCGGCTTACAGGGACCTCGACCGAGCTTTGGAAACCCCTGGCGCAAGCAGCGGCACGCCAAAGCTAGCTCTGGGCATACTGGAGAGAGTTCGATCAAACGCTCATTTGCTCGGTTCGAAATTTTTAGAGCTAGGCAGAAGGCTTATAAAGTAAAATATTAAATTACTTGAGTTATTAATTCTAATTGATTTAAATTAAATTATGAAATGTAATTCCAATTAAAAAATCCTAATATTTGATTTTTAAAATTTTAGGGATTTTTTATGAGGAAACTAAGGAAGATAAAGGAGAGGAAATTCAGGTATAAAGTTTGATTGCAATAATTAATTGTTATTTTCCTAATTTAAGGAATTTTAAAATGAAATGAAGAATTCTAAATTTAGAATTAGTTTAGAATTAAATTATTATTAAATTTAAGTTTGCTAGAATGAAATTTTAGAAGCTTTAACAAAAATTTGATTTAATTGTTGCTATTATTTAGTAATATTATTGGAATGTTGTTATAATTAATAAATTGGAGATTTCATGGGGATAAAGACAATTTGAATATTTCAATGAAATTATCTAGCATGCAAAAATTTTAAATGAAATGAAAATAGAATTGATATAAATTAAATTCTTCTTATAGGTGAGTAAGCCAAAAGATTAGATTTGAACTAAGGAAAAGTACAATCTGACCGTATCATATAGGTGAGTAATATATTTTTATTTTACAATAATTTTATTTATTTACACTTGTCTTTGGTGTCTTTCAAAGTTTCTTTCAAAATTTAAAAAATCTATGTTTATCTTTTAAATATTAAGTGCAACAATAGATATAAACATGTTATATGCATGCATATAAGAGTCACCCCTACATAGTACTGGTAGAATAATGCAATGTACCTATGCACAAAAATAAAAAAGAAAATATTTGCATACCTCTATGATGAATCAGAAATGATTAAACATATATTATTTTAAATATATATTTAAATAATGATTCTCAATAATAAAAAATTTAGCATAAATAAATGAAAACAAATGAAATTGTTTTCTTTTACTGCGCACAACCTTTTACTATTTGTTGCTTTTTTATAAAATATTTTTAAATGAGAAATATTTGTCCATTGACGAGTTTTAACTCAAACCTTTAGTTACTAATATTTTACAGAAAAATCAATTGTAAACTGGATTGACATCTATGCATATATGCGTTGAAGAGTCCAAGCTGATAAGTATTATAGTTCAATTTTATTTTCTGTTACATGTAAATATCTAAATGAGAATAAACTTTTGTAAGTATAAGTTTTATGAATTGCATGACTCTTTTTTGCTCTAGATTTTATTTTATTATGAAATTGAATTGTTAGATAGTTTTCTTCCGTCCGACTGACAATTCCCACCTAGGTAATTTCAAACTCCCGGACCGGGTCATGACAGAATAAAAATAAATCAGATTTCTGGTCATATGTGAGAAATAATCATAGATTTAATTTGGAATTTAGAAGGAGCCAGGAAGTTTGATCGCTGATAGGCTTTCATCTTCTATTCATCCTATGAAAGCCACCACATGGATATCCCACACATCGCTTTTGTTATGTTCGTATTGCTCTTTCTAAATCTGAACTTTCTCGTTGTTTCTTATTTTCATTTTTATCATCATCTTGAAGTGATGAAATTGATTAAAAAATAAGTTGTTTAAGAAAGGAAATTTAGAAGGGTCACATACAAGCATCCACCAAAAAGGGACCTAAAACAATAGGCTTTATGTAGCATTCTAAGGACAACAAAACTGTTTAGAAAATGAATCAATTAATTACTAATTTACTACCGCTCTGCTACTAATGAAAACTAATCAATAAGTATATTATAACTTAAAACAAAACTTATTCCCGTGATTAACAACTTAAAGGCCTCAATTCATTTGGTTCCTTTTAGCTAGCTTTCTACAATTAGCAATGCCAACAAAATATCAAGGCAATACCAAGCTAGTTTCAAGCATACCTTCTTTCATCCCATAAACATTCTTGCATCCTTCACAACGGCATCCCAAGGAACACCCAACACCAGCCTTCGCAAAAAAAAAGATGCGGGTCAAGAAAAATGTAAGCATATAAAAACTGAAACGCATAAATAAAAAAAATTAAAAAAAAAAAGTAGTGCAATAGAAACACACCTGATAGCATTCACAGTATTTCTTCAAGCACTTGGACTTCTTGCAATTGCACCCTCTTTTATGCCTTGCGGAAGGAGGTGTGATATGCTTATTATCCTAGAACATGATTGTTATTTTCTATCCTCACAAAAGAGAAACAAATAAAATTGAAAAATGTGTCAAAACTCTTACTGCACTCTCTTTTAGATCACCATTAGCATGCACAACTTTAGGAGCAAATGCAAGTGGATTGCGAGCTTCTATCAGTTGCCTTGTTGAACTGACCATTTCTTCATTTTCTGAATTATTAGAACATCCTTGGCAAGCACAACTTTTATTGCAAAACATTCCAGCAGCAAAGCAATCACAATAGCTGAAAAATAGGAACATAGAATAAAGCATAAAATTGACTGCCAGAATAAAATCCTATTCAGCACAAATCCAGAAGAAGCTTACAGTTTCAGGCATTTGGACCTCTTGCAACTGCATCGTTTTTGTCCCTCAATCTCTGGATTCTTCTTCCTGTTAAATCTGAAAAGTAAGAAGAGAAAAAAGAGAGAGAATGGAAGGCAGTAAAACAAAGTTAATAGAATGCATGCTTGCCTCTTCTTTCCAAGGCTAGTTTGTGCTGAATCCTCTGATTTGCTGGTTTCTACACCTGGCAATCCTTTTCTACTGCACGGAGTTATGTGGTGAACACTAAATTCCGGTTGCATGCACATATCCAAAGGTTCTACATCAAGTGGTGAATGGTAATCTGGAGCAAAATCTAGTGGTTTATTACGCTTCTCTTTATTGCATTCCTCCATTGAATTAAATGAGGAATCATCAGAATCAGATTGTAATTGGACTGAAACTTCTCTAGCTCCATTTCTTAAGACCATCATATCCTTCGATTCCTGTGACAGTACTTCACAACCAATGTCCAAAAATGTTTTCCCATTGTCACCTAAACCCTCCATTGGCATCTTCATATCTATGTGGCCATTCATCTCCCCAGTCATGCCAATGGTATTTAAGTGCAAGCCAATACCAGACGATCTAGGAACCACTGCAGTGAATCTTCCCTTGCTTTGCTCAGAACCATCAGTCTTAACCAAATAATTGCAGGAAATATTTCCTGGTAGGGACTGAATCGACTGAACTGTGCTAGACATTGCAATTGTATTTGTAGTAGAACCATGTGAACTTCCCATATTAGAAGATATCATTGTTGTCACTGGCATGAAACGAGGACTTTTTAAGTTCGTACAGTTTCCAGCGTATGCAATACTCTGTTCCTTCTTTTCAAAATCCTCAAACTGAAGACGTTTATACATGCCGCGACTATGCTGGGTCATATCCTAAACATGAAGAAAATGAATTGCAATTATACTGTAAAGAAATAAGAACAATAAGCATTGAAAGGATCAGTATCATTTGCAGCATCACTATCTGATCCAATTTGAGATTTTTTGAAAATTTTGAACTTAATTGATTAATTAATATGAAACTATTGGCACAGAACCAAAAAAATTCATGCTAGTTTATATTGAAAGCATAGGTGCAGTTAAACACATAATTTGTACCTCCTGATCATAGTTTCTCTGGTTCTTGCCAGATGCATCACTAATCTGACTCGATATACCAGGATGATTAGTGTGGAACTGAGAATTTCTTGGAATTTCACATTTTGCCTCATAAACACCGCCCAGTTTACCCAAATATTCTGTACTTACAACATCCTGCATTCCAAGCACATAAGTACTGGAAGTGCTTGGGCATTCGTCCACATGACACATACTACTAAAATTCATAGTGTTTGGAACATGGGAATGATTAGATAGTTTCCTATCAAAAGTGATAGGATCATCATCTCTACTAGAAATTGAATTTACATAGGAATTTGACTTAGCTTTAACCTTCCTGCCAAGTAGTCCTCCCTTCTTTTCATTCTCTTCAAAAGCAGCAGGCACAATTTGAATACTTGGCTTCTGCTTGGCAGAATCCTTCTCAAGTTGACATGATGAATTTTGATCACCAACATTTAAGTTGGAACTCAGTTCAGCATTAACAAGTTCTGATTGCTTGGTGTATTCGGCCACAAAATTGGTTACAGTGGCAGAAGAGTTTATCACTGGAACTTGTTCTGAATCCTCATTGGGGTATGCCATCTGATCACCGTTGATGCCAAAGGCCATCTCCGTAACTTGTGCAGAATCCTCATTGGGGTATGCCATCTGATCCCCATTGCTGCTAAAAGGAATGGCATCTTTATCACGAACCAAATCATCAGTTTCTCCCAAGAAAAAACCAGGCGAGCAAGAGTTATTTTCACAATCTTCACTGGGAATGGACAAAAATTCATCCACACTGTTCGAATGACTCCTGCAAACTTCATCCTGAGGATGGTGACCACTATTAAGCTTCTTCTCACTACCATTACTTGATTGAACAGCTGCAATTGGAATAAATTGCCTGGTCATGCAAGGATACTCCGAAGATGTGGCAGCAAGATCTGCATCACCCGTGAAGGGCTTCTCACAACAAGGAAAGAACAGCGTTTGAGACCTAAACAAACACCAAAACAAGCATACTGCATTATTCATTTCCATTCCTCAAACAGAACATGAGGCCACAAGTTGTTACCTTCTCCACAGTTTTGAATCTATCAAGCGATTTTGTGGTGTTGCGAAGACCGGTTGAGGGGATGGAATATCAACGCTATCAAAAGCTTGGCTGCTTAACCTGCTGCTAATCACGTTTATTGGAGACAAGTTGTTAAAAAAGTTCGATGTAGGAGAATCCTGTAATTGAAAAAAAAAAAACAACAAAAACAGGATTCAAAATCCATCACAAATGCTTCAAGCTTTTAGAAACAAGGATCTTTATTTATCATTTTCTGAACACAAACACAATGTACACTCAAGTTCAATCTGGAAATAACAAGCATTGTCAGATCTAGAACCTTAAACAAAAGGAATTGTGCGGGTAAGAAAACGTAAAAATTCAGCAATCCAAAGAGCGTTAATATTTCGGATCAGAATGGAAGGAAAGAGGAAGAAGATTGAGAGTGCCTTTGATGACGGAGTATTTGGCGGCAGCTTGGATCCCTGAGGAGAAGTCATCTCCTGAAATCAAACCCTACTGCACCTCAACGGCGAGAGTCTTATGTGCCCTAATCCAGTTGAAACCGATGCATCCCGCTCGGCGAGTAATTTCCATTTTTTGTTTCTAGTAATTTAGGGATTGTTTTCAGTCTTGCTCGTGAAATCATTTTTACGTTGCTCAGGTTTTTGTTTTGTTTTTTTGTTATGCTTTGTTTCGAAAGAGCGGGAAGTCTTGAAAATAAATGTATTGGCAGGCCGGATGCACGGGCCGGCCCATTTAAGGCCATAAATTTTAATTTGAGGAAAGGAAAAGCCATGCTCTCATGTTAAATTAAAGTTAATGGTTTTAAAATTTAGATTGATCATTTTTTTTTATCAAAATTGATAAAGAATTTTTTTTTGATTTTAAGTAGAAAGATAGTTGGGTCTATGTCCATGATGGTTGAGAGTTGAATGAGTTGTGGAATTAAAGTTTAAATAGGATGATGGACAGATAAAAAATTAAGGTGTTGTGAATATTTAGGTTAAAGAATGAAAGACGATAGAAGGAGCGTTGCTAGGGTTGCGGAAGCGATTATCTAGCAATTTTCGGAGCATCGCTAGGGTTCTCCATGAGAAATCATTTTTTCTTTCATTTCTCTTGGGATGAAGATTTGTATCACTTCTTCTGATCGACTTTGGTATTCATTGATTTTTGTTCTTTTGATTTGTGTTCCCCTCGGGTGGTTTTTCATTTTTTTCCCTTTGTCTTAGGAAAAATTTTCGATCTTGGAGAAACATTACGGGCAAAGAGCTCCATAGCAAGACTTAGGGAGAAGTTTTGACGTCCCATGCTTCTCATTAGAGTTTCAATGTTTCTCTATAGAGTGTTTGCATTTCTTTTTGTTTTCCCTTTCTCTTGGGAAAGCTCTTTATTTCTTTTTATTTCTCCTTTTTTTTGTTATTCTTTCAAATTTTGGGGCTTTTTTGCCCATTTTCTTAGATGGATTTTATTTTTCTTCCACTTAGTTCTACTTCTGCTCGGTCGGTTTTTGGCCCTATTCCAACACTCAACTGGAAGAGTTTAGTTTCATGTCTTAACAATTCTTCTAATTTTGATTTGTCTTATATTCCTTGTTCACAGAATAAGTTTTCTTGCTTTGAACTTGAAGTTCAAGAAGGATCAAAACAATGCAATTTGGCCTAATTTGGATCTACACTCAGTATACACTTGGGAAGAGACCATTCTATGGTAATTTTTCAGCGAGAGATTAATAGAATGTGAAAATTAAAAGGTGTGGTTGATTTTTTTATCTACAAAATATTTCTTTTGTTTAAATTTAATTATGAAGAAGATTTGGAAATAATTTTAATGGGTGACTCTTAGTTCAAATATAGAAATTCATTTATCTTTAAAAGATGATCTCTGATTTTTGGCCACTTAAAGAGAATAAAGAGGATTTTAAAATCATTGCCGTTTAAGTGAAATTACCTAACTTACCTTCGTGTTGTTTGAATGAACTTAATATTTATAATATTGCTAGTAAAATTAGTTTTTCATCTAGTTGTTGATTCTTTAACAATTAAATGTGCACATCTCTCTTTTTTTAGAGTTAATATTCAAATTATAAAAAACTCTCATTTCACTGATTATATTTCTCGTGTTGTATGAGTAGAAATTAAATTCTTGTGATACTTGTTCCGCATTTGCTCATGATTCCCGATCTTGCCATATAGCAAATAATCATCACTCTGCTCCTATTTCACCTACATGTAGTTGTAGGAATAATAATATAAATAATTAAAGAATTAATAGAAGTAGGAGTAGACCTTCTTTTCTTGTTTCTAGTTTTGTTCATGTTACTGTTCCAACTTCTGTTGTTACTAGTTTTATTAACGATGTTGCACCTAGCCTTAATATTGATGTTTCAGTTAAAGATATATTCTACTAATAATGATATGAATGAGAATATTGGAGAAATTCATCATGTTATTGTGGTTATTAATATTAATAATATAGAATTTGTTACATTTTGAGTTAATACGGGCTTTAATGACATCGCCAACGTTTAAGATAGTTTGATTGTCACTAATAAGCATAACATTGTTGATGGTTATGATAATCATATTCTAGAAGATGGCTTTATATTGGATAATGGTAATGATTTTGTTATTGTTGCATACGCCACAAGTAATAATACTATTATAAATAGTACTCTTAGTACTTCTAATGACAATATTATTTCAAATGACTTTAATGATGTTATTTATTTTGTTCCTGTTACATCACCTTTCTCTTCACGGGCATTGAAATGGATGTCTAAAGTTGATAACACTCATTAGCTCTGGTTCATTTTTTTTTAGTTCTTTTTCTTCTTATATTTGTTTATGTTAAATCCAAATATTTTGGTTTAGAATTTCGTGGGTTTAATAATGATTCGTGTATTGCTGATTATAAGAGGATTCTTCATTAAAATTGAGCATATTTGATCAAACTTTCTTAAACAAAGCTTTTTACATCTTCTATTTCTGATAATTTCTCCACTTCACAGTTTAATCTTTTTCATAATCAAGGCAATGTGCATAATTTTGATTTGGATGGTCATGGGCGTATTTGGATTAAATGGAACCCTGATATTTTGTATTTCATTTATTTGGACGTTAATGCTCAGTACTTTCATAGTCATGTCACTTTCTCTTCTTCTGTTAAATTCTATATTATTTTCATTTATGTTGATAATAGTGATTTAATTATGAAAGATTTATGAGATTCAGTTTCCTCATTTTTCTAATAATATTGATGATCACTAGGTTCTTTTAAGTGATTTTAATTGTATCCTTGGAATTAATGAAAATGTAGGTGGTATATCACATATTCATAGTAAATTATTTTATTTTAATAAATATATTTTTAATTCTAATTTATAGAGTTACAAAATACTAGTTTGATTTTTTTTTTTGTTCAATAATCAACTTGATAATCCCATAAGGTGACTTTTAGATAGAGCTTTTTGCAATACTTCTTGGGTGTTTTTTTTTTCTTGATTTTTTTCCTTCAAAATTTAGAATTTTTCTACTTCAGATCACCCTCCTATTTTAATTTCTTTGTAAAATACTTATAATTTGAGGCATAAATTTTTATATAAAAATTATTGGAGTCAATACCCTAGCTCCTTGATATTATTAATGTTGTTTGTAGTATTAATGTTATAATTATCTTTTAAACTTGATCTCAAATTTAAAAAGTAAGCAAGGTGTGATTATGAAAAGCTTGAATACAAATTTTCTTTCACTAATTTTCATTTCAAATATTTGCTTAATCAAGCTTCTATTATCAAAAAGATGTTCATAATACCTTTTCTTGTAATTGCAAATGGTTAAAGTGACTGGCTAAATGTGATTGGTTATGATAGTAATAAATCTCATAGTCCGGATGGTTTTTCTTTCAAATTTCTTAAAGATGTGTGGGATATTAGTGGTTATGATAGTAATTATATTATCAAATATTTTTTTTATGTATAGCAATCTTCATAATAAACTTAAACAATATTGCATCACTTCGATTCCTAGAATGTAAAGTGCTCAAAATTTTAATCATTTTCATCATATTTCTCTTTTTAATACCATGTATAAAGTTATTGTCAAACTTTTGGTGGATAGAATTAAACTATTTCTTTCTAATATTTGCTCTAGCTTTTTTTTTTTAAAGGTAGAGATAGTATATACAATATTATTATGTCTAATGAGTTTTTATATGATTTTAATTCTTTTAGTTCTAGTAAAATATTTTATTTTAAAATTGACCTTAAAAGGCTTTTGATATGGTTAATAAAAATTTTCTCTATGATACATTTGTTAAATTAAGATTCCCTATTAATTCTAGTTGTTTTATTAAAGCTTGTACTGCAAATGTTTGTTTTTTTTATTATTAATGGAGAAATAAATGGCCATTTTTTCTTTCTTTGATTTACGATAAGGTTGTCATCTTTCACCTTATTTATTTGTCATTATTTTGGATGCTCTTTCTTCTATGTTGGATGCATTCAAATTTTTTTTTATGTGTACCATATATTTAATAAAGCAAATCAACTTATTTATATTGATGATATTTTGATATTTGGAAATGTTGCCCATTCTTTTATTTTTCATTTGAGAAATATTTTGAATAAGTTTAGTCTTGCCTCTAATTTAGTGATTAATTTCTTTAAATTTGTTATTTGTTTCTCTAAAACAATTATTCAACTATTCAACAAAATCTTTATGATATTGGTGGTTTTCCTACTAAGACTGTCATGCACTTATCTTGATATTATTGTTAAGAGTTCAAAGCTCAATTCAATGGATTTCATATTAATATTGACAAACTTAGAATTTGGTTGGTCAGTTAGAAACAAAAAGTTGTATCTATGATTGGTCGTATTCAAATAATTAACTTCATCATTAAAACTTATTTTTACTATTTGTTTTGTTCCACTTCTTTGCCTAAATGCATTAAGGAAATAATTAACAATTTAATTAATAATTTCTTTTGGCATAATTATAATTAGAAAATTTGATTAATATTTTTAGTACCATTACTTTGCCTAAGTTTTTGGGAGTTATTGACATTCCTTCTCTAGATAATATTTATTTTATATTTGAAGATAAGATAATTTGGAGAGATTTTAATTTTAATTCTTTGTTAGCTAATTCTTAATTAGATTATTATGGATCTATTTGGATAAAACACATATCCATGGTTTTCTCTTTTTGGAAAGACATTATTAATATCTAGAATTAAAAAATGTCAATTCTTTTCAAATAACATGCAATATTAGTCTTCCATTTTTGTTTGATCCTTGGATTAAAGGTTTTTTTTTTTATGAGATTTTAGGGATTTCAATTTTTAATTATTTTCAATTCCCTAGTTCTATCAAAGTTAAAGATGTTTTAATTAATGGTAATTGGATTTTCCTCAACATTGAAATTTTCTAATCAATGTTTACATTTTTTTACAACATTTCTATTGTTATTGATGGAAAAATTTGTGATTTTTTGAAAGAAGAAGAATTATATTCTAATAAAATTGTTTATCATTTTATTTATGAAAATTTTTCTCTTCGTGATTGTTTTAAATTAATTTGGTACAAAGGTTCTTCTATTAATTTAGCTTCGCATACTTCGAGACTTTTTTTTTGATGGTCTAAAGACTTCTAATATTCTTATTTCTAGAGGCATTAATGTTAAACCTATTTATATTCTTGGTCATAATGAGTTTGAGATTAGTAATCATTTGTTTTTTTGAATTTTCTTTCTCTCATAATTTGTTGTAAATTGACATTCATAATGGAAATTTCTTCATTATTGCTAGTACTTTTTATAAAATGCTTTATTGCACTAATAGTATCAATTATAAAATTGATAGAAACACATTTTTTTGTATTGTTTTGTGGACCCAGCATGCTTAGGCGTCGCCGCCTGTAGTGATTATGATGATCCACCCACTGCCCTATGGCCTGATATAAATGTTGAAAGCATCAAAATTTTCCCTTGAGATGATTTAAATCCATTGGTTTCCCAAAATAATCAAATTTCATTCAATCATATAAGCAATACACTTTTTATTGAGAATTTTCTTAGTTATCCCCAAGATGTAATTAACCAAAGAAATACGTTCCTTTGAAAGCTGCTCTTGACCCTATAACAAACATTTATACTTGATTCTCTTGTTGTGGGTTGCTTTCGTAAAGTTTTCTTCGCAGATATGTCTCCAAGATATTTTGGATCCGATCTCGTTTCAAACGTATGTGTTAGGGCTATCCACGTGAAGTTCACTTTATGAAAATGCTCCACATTCCTTCTCTCGTTAGTCTATTGCTCGTCGTATATCCCTCCTTCTGATTCATCTCTTCTTTTGATCATTCACTTTATCGAAGAGGAAGATTTACTCAAACAAGAGAATAATACGACGAATATAAATAGACAAACTTGTGAAAACTTCAAAAAAAAAAAAAGAAAGAAGAGAGAAAAAGAACGGAAATACATCCCCCCACCCCACCCCCCATGTAGCTCATAAAATCAAAAGAACGGAAATACATCCCCCACCCCACCCCCCATGTAGCTCATAAAATCAAAAGAAGCAAATCTAATGATATTTAGCACTCGCAACAACTCCCTTCATTAGTTGAAGATTTAATGACTTCTGCCTCTATTTTTGTTTTGCTTTTTTCTTTCTGCAGGCTATGATGTCGTGCATTTGGTTGGCACTGATTGGGATTTCAACTGAATGAATGTAGAGTTAATTTGACACTTAATTTAACCTAATGCATCCCTAACTTTGGCACTTTTCTTAATACCGTTTCAACTCTTTTTAGCAATGTTTCAAGCATTATATATACACATAAACTAACTAGTCCAAAATACATGTTTTTTTGTTTATACAAGTTTTTTCATTGCTATTAAAGGAAGATTTACATGAACATCACTTAATTCCCAAGCATTTACAAATCTAACGCAATTATCAAAGAACAAAAAGATATTAAATCAATCAAACATGGTATGCATGCAAATGCCCCCCTCACATTGTTTCATAAAAGCTTATTTGCATGTGGATGCCACAGAGAAACTACAGCAGGACAGAATCAGAATGAATAGTTCATATCAGAAACAAAGCTGCTCATAAAATTCCAGGAATTTCTATATATATTTGAAGTTCAAAATGAATAAACTAAAAGGAAAATATATTCAACAGAATAAAAATGTGAGATGAGTATTTATCTCAATTGTTCCAGCTCTGTTAAGATTTAGGGTCCATTTCCCACTAAGTTAAAAACAAATAAAAAGGAGAGGGAAAAAAAAAAGCAGCATGAACATATCTACTCATAAATATGACTACACTTGAAGAAATTTCCGAGCATAAGAATTATACGAATGGGAATCATAGCAATGCCATAATCTCAGATATTATGGCTGATGGGGCTTTTCTCAATGGCTAAAATCTGAATTCTGGGTCCACATCCATTGCCCATGCAAATTTTGCAAGAAGCGACTTGTTGAATATCTGCAGCAAAAAAGAAAATGAGTGTTAGATATGCAAATACATAAGAATTGAATGGTATGCATGGAGATCTTTCTATATTGTATATAAATACATTGCAGGGCATCCTGGCGTGGCTCATAAATAAAAGTGACATGAAAAAAGGGTTAAAAAGCTGCAAGTTTTGCTTGTGAAAGTTGATTTCATCTTCCGAATAGTAAATTGCGGAGTAACTCCATTAATTTTATCTCCTTTTCTAGAATCGAACAGCAGATGCAGCATGGGACGGAGCAGAAAGAATAAAATGATATACCTTCTCAATGGGAACTTCATTACGCTTGCACCATGCAACAGATATCCTAGGATCAAGGTAATTAATCTTAGAAGTGCCTAGAGCAACGGTCTTCAGATCCTCCTTGGTCTTCTTACTCAATTCCATTTTCTCTATTTTATGATCGATCTGAATAATCCTTTTCTCCAGCCTGCAAGGTTGGCATAATTAAGTGGCCTGAAGTAAAGATTTACAAATCTAAGGCATAGTGTGTTTAAATCCATACAACTCAGGGGCCACATTCTTCTTCAATTTTCCATCTGCATCCATCCCCAAAGGCTTCCCTCTTTTTGCTTTGCCCAAATCAACCTCGAGATCCTTCCTTTGGTCCTACATGAATCAGCAGAGAAATTAACCAACAAAACTCTCTCTCTCTCTCTCTCTCTATATATAACCTTCAACTCATTTATCTTTTCATCTAATCTCGACATCTGGGCATCATGAGACTTTGAAACACTTCTTTGATGATTGCATATTATAGCAACCTATAATTAAAAGAATATACAGGATGAAAATAATATAAACTAATCAATATCATTAAGCAAGCACTATCAAATTTTACAGTGCAAGAATAGAAAATTACCTCTTTGTTGGCTATCTGATATACTGCAACCTTTTCTAATACATTTCCATCCGTGGTTTCTTTGCTCAACTATTTAAATGAATAAAGTTGTTACAACGTCTTCAATTACGTTAGTAAAAAGACATAAAAAACATGATCATGCTAAACACACAGAGTCAGCATAACAACAAAAAATCCAATGTGTTGTCAAACCCAAGCATAAAGGTTGCCATATAAACTAGCAATGCCGTAACTATAAATTATAGTGTGTCAGTAACAAGATAGTGGGGCAAACTAGACAAAGGCAATTCTTAAAAGACTAAATAGAAAAATATTTGTATAATCAAAATTATAATCATTTTTCAAAACTAGCAAGGATAAAAATCAAAATGAGTTTTTTTCTAGATGAGAATATTCAGCATAGGTGAGTGAGATACTTGATAAATTTTTCAATGTAGAATGTGAAAGTATGATCAACTTTAGTTATCTTAATATCATGAATAGTAACAAATAATAACAAAGCTTTTTATATGTATAGTTGCTTTAATAAAACGGAAGTTGAGAAGACTTTAAAGAAAATGAAATGTGAAAAAGCAAGACCCGATAATATTCTAATAGAAGTGTGAAAATATTTAGAAAATCTGAGAATTTTTTGCTTATAAAACTTTTAAATATTATTTTAAAAGCTAAAAAAATGTCTGATGAGTAGAGAAAGAGTCTATTGGTACCTATTTTTAAGAATAAAAGGGATGCACAAAAGTGTGCAAATTATAGAGGAATTAAGTTTATATGACATTCATTAAACTTATTGGAGAGAGAAATTAAACATAAGTTACGGCAAAATATTTGTTTTTTCAAAATCAATTTGGAAAAATTTGATTGTATCCACAGTTATCGTTGGGGATAACTTTTCTGCTACAAGTAAGATTACCATGTCATCCAATGTAATGGAAGCATTATATGTACGGAAAACTTTAGCAGTAAGGCCGGGCATGAGTTCCTTCAGGTGAGCATTGAGTTTACTTGTATCTAACAAATCGAAAAGATCATCCCCGTCAGCCTTCTTCCTTCCATCATTCCTTTTCGCTAATGAAACAGAGAAAAGGTAAGGAAATAGATGATAAGCGATGTGATTATCGAATAGATACAACACAGCTAAAATCTGGACTGTGTTTACCAGATTGGAACTCTCCAATTGCTTTGTAGACAGGCAACTCAACTTCCACAGTATTGAAATATCTAATTGAATCTTTACCAAGAAAGTCAAACTGGATAAAAATAAAATAATGCTTATAAGAACCAGATCCAACAATAAATCATAATTTCAAACAAAATGTCTATACCTGCAACTTGTTTGGTGGAAGTAGTGTAACATTCTCCACTTTCAAAGTGCAGCAACCAACAGTATCAGCCTCATCATCATCCTAGAATGCACTCAAAAAGTTCTACTGAGAAGACTTGTCTTGTATCAAAATAAACAAAGCAATTTTTCTTTTAAAAGAGTTGCCATCCCAATAAAAATCAATGCAAAAATAAAAGCAAAACAACAAAGTCATTATTGATTGATAAAAAATGCCATCCCGTCTTCCTACTTTCTGCATTCTCAAAGAAATGACATCAAAGAATAACTTATTTTTGGTCCTTTCAAGTCCTTTTTTTAGACTGGGATTTTGTTAATGGCCTCATAAATTGGATCTAAATGAATAACTTGTGCATGTTTTGGTATTGTTGCAATTCGGGAGTGGGTAGGGGTGTGGCAGGTTTGGGTGATGAGAAACCAATACCAGAAAATTCAAAGTTGCTACAGCTCATCTATTTTAAATTTCTTCCAACATAAACCTTTATTAAACATATTGATATAGAGAGACGATTCCCTCCAGCAATCTACTACATGAATCTCTATATAGAAGCTGATTCGACCAACGTTCTCAGCTATTTAGAACTTCACATCTCCTATGAATCCTTTCATATTCTTCTTCACAGAGAAATGATGGCTTCTCATATGTGACATTGACTCGTGTACAGCATAAGGAAAAATAAAATTAAGCAAATATGTACATGTCTTTGCCATTTGTTTCATTCAAACAGTAAAAGCATATCAAACGCATAAAATAAAATTGTATCATTTGATTAAATCTGTTACATAAAACCATCATATATGCACAAGTGAGACATGGATAAAGCTCTATTAATTGAAACAAGATTTAAGAGCATATCAGAAAAAAGTTGTTTTAGACAAGGCAAAAGATCATGAAAACCTTCTAAGAAAATTACAGCGGTAATTTCACTACTATACAAAATATGGAATTAGAGTAATGGCATAACAACCACATTTCTCTAATTAAATCTACATGGAAGCATCTCAAGTGAAATTATAGGATTTATTAAACTACACTATCAGCATTCCAGTTTTAACACTGAATTTTTAATGAAGTGACAATATGATCTGTTAAAAATGTACTGAAATGAGCCCCTTAGAAGGTGGATAGAGATACTATCTCATATACTAGCACACTTCACATGCCAAATACAACTGAGTTTAGCAGAAAGAACATAAACTGCCACAAAACTGATCCAAAAGAGCATGCAGAAAGACAGCAGAAATGGAAATCATCCCTCGGCACAGAATTTTGTGTTGAGAAATGCCAAAAAGCTAAAAGGCTTGAAAAACATGATTCTATAACTTGCAATTAAAAGCTTAAAGAGTAACATTCATGAAATTGACTGAAGAGTGATTATACAGTAGAATAGTACATCAACAAACGCATATCAAACATTCATGCAAGTGACAGATCATAAAGTATAATAGCATATCTTGCCATGCTTATCAGTATCTTGCCAATTTTAGTGGTTTCTGAATATGCCAGAAAATCTCAACAAAGCTCATAAAAGAACCATGCAGGACACAATTACATAATCAGAAACTTTGCAATATAAGCATAGAGAAGTTGAAAGCACAAGATGTGAACAATAACAGCACAGCCAAAAAAGGTAAAGCAAAGCTTGACGAGGACAACAGAAAATTTACATTGATTACAACTATACCTTCTCATTGCCTGCCCTTAGTGCTAGCTTATCAATGAGATATGTGGCTACAGCAATCTGTCTCTTTGTAGCATCTTTACTGGTAAAATCTTTTGTATAGTTTGCACGAATGTTTTGTATGTATTTCTGCAAAAAAAAAAAAAAAAAAAAATACAAAAAAAAATGATGTCAACATGGTATTACTGAGAAAAAAAATGAAGAAGATAAACAGAATGACAAAAGCTTTAACGGTCTCTGTTCATTAAGAGCAACATCTCATAATGCATTCATGCTAAATTATGTTACCTTCAACATTCTTGCCTTTTCATACTTCTCTTTGTCACTTTGACCCTTCAAAGAGCTGCTCGCCGCCAGAAAAACGTATTTGTACTCTTTCGAATTGACTGGATCACTCCAATAAGCTAGCCAGGTGACAGTATTGTCACGCTTTACCTCTTTCCACCTGAAAAAAACAAACTTAGAAGCATAAATCATAAATCATTTCATAATTATCTTCCTTTTATAAAATTGTGATCGTCACCTTTCACCAGGTATAGGACACTCAGGAATTGGGGCACTTTTGCCAATGTTAATTGTAATGTCTCTTGGTCTAATGCGCCTTTTCAGTTTTCCCATCTGCCACAGTGGAAACAATAAAACAAACAAAAGGAGTCATAAACTGAAGAGAAAAACTAACTTATTTACTCATCACAGACAGTTTAATTCAGGGAAAACAAATGCAACAAAGAGTGCAAACCTTCGGGTGTTCTCCACGGCCACGGAATAATCCTGGCGGTTCCACCCTGAAATTTCCAACCTGGAAGAAGCACGTGACAGAACTGGGTAAAATACTTCTATAAATGATGATTGATGATATGGATACAGCATTCACAAAGCACAAAGACTATATGATGATGATGATTTTGTATGTAAATCATTTGTTGATGAATAACTTGACCTGTTAGCAACAGAAACAGAAATAATATGATCAATTGAAACCATAAACATTTTTACAAAGCATCACATGGCATAGAAAAATATAGCAAAAATTAAAAGACCAAAGACAGATAATGTTCAAATAGACTCCTGTTCACACGAACTGAGAATCATTGTATTATTCTTTGCTTAAACTAATCCACAAACATTTAATTATGCAACGAGAAGGATACAATATTTCAAAAAGAAGCATAAGCTATACCTTCTCTTTTACTCCATCAACAATAGCCCACATATATTTCTCTTCTTGCTTCATCTTATCTTCTTTTAGCTGCTTCTTCTCCTACACAAATTTAAGAAGAAAATTTTCTGTTAGACATGTCATCCCATGAGATATTCAAACCTTTCTTGACAAAAAAAAAAAAAAAAAAAAAAAAAAAAAGACAAAAAGGAAAATTGAACCATATCTGGGCAAGAAATTTAAATAACAAAAATAAATAGAACTGCATTCCGAAAAATATAGTTCATATAAAATAAGCATTCAATACATCTTCAGCTCAGTGATCATTTTATTCAGCTAAGGAAAACATAAGAATTCAAGAAATTACTTCAAAAAGAAAGAATCACGAGCAACACATGGTATTGTTAATGATTTTTTAATAGTTAATGTGCTTTCTTAATTTTATTTGATGAAACAATAATTCCTATTTGCCATCAAACTAACCATCAGCAGCTATATAAAACCTCCTTTAGTTTGATGATATTGTAAACATACGCATAAAAACTACCCAAGCCAAAAACAAATTTTGATATTCAACAATGAATCTCAAATAGATTGTTAATTGGATTCCAAATAAATGATGGTTACTGTGAAATAAAAACTTAGTGAAAGCATATTCTATTCCAAACAAGCTGCAGTAATAGGTCTTTGCAATGAATAGTCAAATCATGTTCAGCATTCTGCTTTCTGTTCCTTCACAAAAAACAGGCGGAATTCTAAAACCACACATAACCTTGTTAATCCTCAAGTTTGCACCCAACCTATCAATGTCTATGTCCCCACAAAAAAAACATAGCTCAACAAAGCAATGAAGATTCTGAGGCAATCAGATGTAGAACTTACCTCTGAACTCATCTGCTTTTTCTTTTCCTTCTCTCTTAGATGCCACTCATAGATAGGAGTGAAATCGCAAAGCTCAAACTTTTTAATGACATGATTTTTGCCAAGTATTTGCCTCCAATCATTCATGAAGTTCTCAATGAAATCAATGAATTTAGGCTTTGTGGCATAATCTGTGTCCTTCATGACGGCAAACATTGTAGCAACCTGAAAAATAACTAGAAAAATAAGAGCAGGAATTAAAAATATTTTGAAAACCTCTAAGCAAGTGACCACAACTATAATGAATGGTGCATCAAGAATTAAGATGTAGTAAATTTTTCTATAACATCACCTCCTCTTGCTCAGGAGTCAAATCAACTGGCTGACCATTGTAGAGCATTTTAATCCCATGAGGATTGTATGGCGGAGGAAAAATAACACCATTATGCTCCAAGGTAGTCCACTTCAGCCCTCCACCAGAGCCAGGAGGTACTTTAGATGACTTGGAATATTTTGAGTCCTTCAGTGTTCTCATCTGCTTACCATCTTTCTTAAATGACGTAGTTTTTTTAATTTCATTCTTCACAGATACTTGATTTCCAGAAAAAACTGTCTTTTTCATTCTCTGAGAAATTGGTATATGGTCATCATCCATCATCTGCTCTTTATTAACTAGTTCTTCCCGTTTAAATTTAATGGAAGATGAGCCATCTAGAAGTTTTGCTTTCTTAACAGAGGTCTCAGCCGAGTTATTATTGTCATCAAAAGGCCTTTTACTTGAGCCTTTGGAGTGTGTCAAGCCATCAATTGATTCTTTCTTGGCATAACCATTTGCCACAATTTTAGAAGGAAAAAAATTCTCATTGGAGTTTAATTTAATAGATGCAGCACCCTCGATCTTTGCTTGAAGTCTAGAAAGCAAAGGTTTTTCATCTTCTGAATCAGAAGCAGATTCCTTGATGCTTACCTTTGCTGCCAGTAAGGAATTGCTACTGTGAGGTGCTAAAGAAGCAGAAATAAATTTAGCACTCAAGGGAACATTATCATCATCATCAGAACCATCAGAACTTCTTGCTTTCCCTGATATGGTTTGGACAGAAGATTTACTTGTTAAACCACTGGCCATTGACTGCTTCGGTGCCTTTAGAACAGCCGTGGAATTATTTCCCTTTGAGGATGAACTAATTCTAAAGCTTAAAGGCATATTATCAATGGAATCATCGGAATTCTCAGCCACAAAAGACTTGCCAGAATGGGATGCCTTCATCTGGTCCCTAGAAACCAAATTCCGACCCACTGAGCCTATTGCATTGTCATGAACAAAAGAAGAAGCATTTGAGCTTACAGACTTGGACTTTTCAGATGAAATTTTGGAAGAAGGTGCAGCTGTATCCTTCTTCATCCCTAAACTTTTATCCTTGGAAGCATTGTCATGAACAAAAGAAGAAGCATTTGAGCTTACAGACTGGAACTTTTCAGATGAAATTTTGGAAGAAGGTGCAGCTGTATCCTTCTTCATCCCTAAACTTTTAACCTTGGAAGCATGCACCATGCTAGATGTACGTTCTGCAATAAATCCAACACTATTTTGAGAAACGGAATTCTCAGCCACAAAAGACTTGCCAGAATGGGATGCCTTCATCTGGTCCCTAGAAACCAAATTCTGGCCCACTGAGCCTATTGCATTGTCATGAACAAAAGAAGAAGCATTTGAGCTTACGGACTTGGACTTTTCAGATGAAATTTTGGAAGAAGGTGCAGCTGTATCCTTCTTCATCCCTAAACTTTTATCCTTGGAAGCATTGTCATGAACAAAAGAAGAAGTATTTGAGCTTACAGACTTGAACTTTTCAGATGAAATTTTGGAAGAAGGTGCAGCTGTATCCTTCTTCATCCCTAAACTTTTAACCTTGGAAGCATGCACCATGCTAGATGTACGTTCTGCAATAAATCCAACACTATTTTGAGAAACGGAATTCTCAGCCACAAAAATCTTGCCAGAATGGGATGCCTTCATCTGGTTCCTAGAAACCAAATTCTGACCCGCTGAGCCTATTGCATTGTCATGAACAAAAAAAGAAGCATTTGAGCTTACAGACTTGGACTTTTCAGATGAAATTTTGGAAGAAGGTGCAGCTGTATCCTTCATCCCTAAACTTTTATCCTTGGAAGCATGCACCATGCTAGATGTACGTTCTTTAAAAAATCCAACACTATTTTGAGACGATAATAACTTCCTAGAAGAGGAATTTAACTGATTTTGCTTGGATGATGGATTAGTTCTCTTAAAAATTGCAGGCCCATCATCATCTTCTCCATTGTCTGAAAAAACTTGGTTAACACAACTATGAACCGCCATTGTTCCTTTTTAAAATCAGTCTGACTATTTTAAGCCTGCAAATGTAGAATAAAGAATTAATCAACATTAAACAAAGATAAGAAATTAAAATCTCCATTTTTTATTGAAGCTAATAAAAAAGATACATTAATCCAAGAATTTATTTGTAAGACAAAACTCAAAGATAAGGTAAGGTTAAAAAAAATAATGATAAAAGTTTGAATTCAGATCTTTAAGTATACAGATGACAACTTCAATTAAGTTATCATCAATTTCATAAGTAATAGCTACAATCCACATAAATCCTCCTTCTTCCCATTATCTCACATGTATCATCACAAAATTGCACTTATAAATCAACAACACCCATGGGAAATAATGAACATGATGGTGGAAAATAATGGGCCAGACATAGAAATATCAAAATGATTATATTTCCTCAGTTTCTTCCTAGCAGAGATTGAACATAAATAAAACAAGTGTTGCTGATTTATGTTCACTTATAAAATATGTTTTTGCTAAAAGTCTAGCATTGAACCTTTATATGCTCTCATATGTTTTGCATTTAGCAGTGAATACTCAATTGCACCCTACAACACTTTTTCTAGTTGACGGAGTTGTTATGATTCAGGTATCATTATTTTCAAGGGAATCTCTTCTTTCACAACATTTTTCCAAGCAAGAATAATAAAGGTCTCTTGGATTGAATTTGAGACATACACATTATCTACGTGATGAACAAAAGATTTCTAATATAATGATAATTTTTCATGTTAAAAATTCTTCTATCGAGTATTTTGTGCATTCTTGCGCTTCTTCTTTCTCTTGGTGTTCATGATGTGTTGACCAACCACTGTGTGAATACTTGGGGTTCCGGTGATTTGCATTTCTAATTTTACACGTCCCTTACATGCTCACTGGATTCTTCTTTTCTGGTGTACACACAGAGTTCTTGATTTTTGGTGGGAACTGTGAGAGACTTTAGCAGAATAACAAGTTCATTTTCAAAGTGATTTGTGATCGTGGGGACAAGAGTGGGTTCATCATTGATACAATGGAGATGAGCTTGAAGTTCCTAGATGGTATCCTAAATCTGATATTCTCTCCAACTCTCCCCGTGAATATTAGATTTAGGGTAATATGATTGGTTTCAAAGAATGCGACATCCATGGAGTTGTTGAATTTTCTTGTTTCTGAAGAGTAGAATTTATACCCCTTTTTGTTTAAAGAGTAGCCCATAAAGATGCATTTGATTAACCTGAGTTCAAGTTTGGTCTGATTAGGTAAATGTAGATGAACAAAAGCGACGCAACCAAAAATTTTTATTAGTAGGTTAGAAGTGAATGACTGAATATGTGGGTAGAAAATATTATTAGAGTTGTTAAAGTTTAGCACTCTGTTGGACATCCTATTTATGAGATAGTGGATGTAAAAATTGCATTCCCTCAGAAGTGCTTAGGTAAATTGTTAGTGAATAGAATTGACAGGGTCATTTCAAGGAAATGTACATTCTTTTTCTCAGCCACATCATTTTGTTGGTATGTCAACACAAATGTTTATATGAATTATCTTATTTTTGAGTAGACAAAGGTTGAGAGTGGAGTTCTACAAGTCTTTTGCATTATCGATTTTGAGAAGTTCTATTTTGCTTTAAAATTGGGTGAGAATCATACTGTGGGAGGTTTTAAATATATTGGCAATTTCATATTTTTTTTCATGAGAAAGACCTAAGTGGTTCTGGAGTGGTCATCAATGAATGTGACAAACCACCTAGCCTCATTTGCATTTTTTTTCTTTTGAGATCACCCAGATATCACTATGAACCATAGAGGAGAGATGTGTTGGTTTGTATTTGAGGATTGGGTAAACTTGTCGAGTATGTTTAGCTAGTTGGCAGTTTCACAATTATAAGAACAAGACTTTTAATTGAAAAATAAATGAGGGTATAATTTTTCAATATAATAGAAGTTAGGATGTCGAAGACAAAAATATCATGACATAACTTGATTTTTATGAGAAATAGATTCATATACAACACTTAACACAAATGATTATGAATGATGGGACATCCTAATGAGCAAATAAAGTCCATGATATATATCAACGCTTTCAATCACCTTCCCAAGTGCATCATCTAAAATTCACACAAATTATAGTAAAATTTAGTAACATAATTCATATCACGAATGAGTTTACTTATAATCGGTAAATTACAGTAAAGTTTAGAAAGCGCAGATTGAAGAGTAAGATCATTTATGAGTTTCACACTTTCTCTTCATTTCACAGATGAGATGGAGTCATTCGCATTCTAACTGCAGTATTGTGTTTGCAAGAATGGAATGATTGGAAAGCAAAGATATCACTTGTCATGTGATAAAATGATCCAAAGTCCACTATCAAAAGCAAATTCTTCCTTCTGAGAGCAATAAGAGTAGGTGGAAGACTTCCTTGATATGCTAGAACGCTAGTAGAAGACTCGTAATATTGTCCCAAAAGCCTTTGGAGAGCTTCAATTTGTTCCTTGTTGAACGAACTCTATTCGTTGAATGGACTCTGTTTGTGAGGCTTGTCTTCCTTTGATGTTGTGTATGCTTATTTTTTCTATCACATTTGATTTTACTAAGCTAACAATCTGTGGTTTTCCATAAATTTTCCAACACTTCTTCAAATGACTAAGGTTTTTACCATGTTCACACAAAGATCTATTCCAATTTGATTTGTTGTTTAGTGATATAATGATTTGTGAGTGTATAAAGCCGACTTGTCAATATTTGATATAATGGGATTAACTGTTATCATGAGTTTCTTCCTACTCTCTTCCCTTCGTACTTTTCAGCAAAGGCTTCAACCAAATGAAAGAAGAGGTTTGTTCTCATAATCCTTCCTCTGATTTTGTCTAGTTCATTGTTGAGTCCTAGAAGAAACTTGATGCTTCTCTTTTGTTAAACAATTGTTTTGTAAATGATAGAATCTTATGAGTACCTCCATGTGTATGTTTTATAAATATCTAGTTGGGGTCAATATTTTAAAAATATTGAAATGTTAACATTCAACTCACCTTGTCACGGGTCATATAATATAGCTTCAATCTCAAACAATTCAAAAATATTGTCAATACTTGAATATGTTTCCCTTCCAACATCTCATATTTATTTTGTCGTTTTGTACAAGAGAGTTTTTTTCTAATTTCCCTGGTCATGGAGTTACCCTAGTTGTGGAATTAACAAGCCATAACATGATTATGTGATCTTTAATATTTTATATATGATGTTTAGGATTAGTAACTTATGGTATTTTTTCTTTGGTGAGATTATCATCTTTTTCTTCACCAAATGTGTATAAAAACAAAGATTGAAACCATTAGACGAAAATCTTGTCATGTATTTTGTGATTAGTAATGCAAGAATAGACTTCAGATGATGCAGAATCAAACATTCTAGGTTCCGGTTCAAATAAGGAACAAATAGCTCTTTGTCGTATTTGGCCATCATCAGAATATCCACTGTTGTCCGTTGTCAACAGGATTTCCACTAAAAAACTAAACTATCTGTTGTCAACATAAAATTTTCATTGGAGAGAAAACTATGTCACCGACACAGAATTTCCACCCAAAACTGTTTGTCACTAACACATGATCGCCACCACAGAGATGTGGGTCAGACCTGATTGTGACAGGCAAGGTCTTGAATTACACTGGAGAAAAAATTCCAATGAGCGAGAGCATTTGAATTCCGTTGGAGAGAGAAAGTTCGGACCTTGCCAAGTGGATTTGATTTCCAATAAAATGTCCCCATCTCCTTCAGATTTGTGAGCTACGATGTTTGATGCAAAACCAAAGGCAAAAAATTGATCATACCGACTTATGATTTCTACTAGACAAAGAAAACTGCATGTTCATGATTATAATTTCCACTAGAGACAAAATCCCGAGATTCCTATCTCTGCGGACTTCTCTGTGTGAAAACAGTCGGAGTCACGGGCGCTTGCGGGAAACAGAGTGACGGAAGCCTGGGTGCAGAGAGGCAGTGGAAGTTTGTCTGGCTGGAAACTGCGATCCGACAAGTGAAGGGAGCTGGAGCAAAAGAGTGCCTGCAAGCTGCAAAGAGGAATCCAGCAGCTGAAAGGAGGTCTAGGGTTCTTCCCTAGCTCTGATACTATCTATAATTTAGAGTAAAAACTATCCCTTTCTCATTAAGCAAATAAAAAATATATATACAACTTAGACTAACCCTCATACTATTGAAGTGAAATTCAAGTCACATGATAAAAAGGGAAGAAATAAAAATACAATAATAAATAATCAAGGGAGAATAATTTCTCTCGCTCAAATGTAATAGCGGACTCACAATTTCCTAAGCCGGATATGAATATCAAAATGTAATTTCATGTATACATTAAATAAGAAGAAACCTAAAGTAGGATAAACATATTGTTTAAATTAGTGTCACTAAGTCACTGAGTTACATTCCAAGAACTATTATTGTCTAAAGAACTTCCATTCTCAAAGATTGAGCTTTATTTTAATTTATGTTAAACAATATCCATTTAATAAAATAGTTAGCCCAACTGAGAAGGCTGCTATATCCATTGCTATAAACTTAACTCAACCCTCCTCATTCGGGTTGTTTAATTTTTCAAAGGACGGATATCCTATTCTAAAGAAAAACACGTAATATCTTAAAAATTAAGGAAAGTGTAAACTTATTTTAATTGAAGTTTATTCTCTTTCATATTAATTTCTAGAGGAATGTTCGTTTCTTTTTGGTATTATTTCTATATGAAATATCTTATCCTCCTTTGGTATTAAATTCTTCTAACTTTTATTCTTAATTCTTTGCATAGAGGCATTTCTTATGAATATTGGGCATATTGAAATAAGAGAAAATAGAAAGTCTACTAAATCATGCTGAAATTTTTTTCTTTATTTCTTGTGCTAGGTTCCCTAAAAAGGGTCCATGTAAAAAAGAATAAAAATCTCCAAGTTCATAATGCAATATTACTACTAGAAGATAGTTTATTCTTAGCATACATTGCAATTTAATACCAAGATTTGCTCATTCGATCTTGGTGGAAGAAAATGAGAAAATATAATCATTTTGATATTGCAATGTCTAGCCCTTTATTTGTCGCCATCATGTTCATCTTTTCTTATTGTTGTTTTGTTGATTTATAACTATAATTTTGTAAGTGTCATTTCAAAAAGGGGGAAAAGGGAGGATATGTGGATAGTAGCTATTACTTATGAAATTTATGATAACTTAATGGAAGTTGTCATTTATTTACTTAAAGATCTGAATTTAAACTATTATAGTAAACATCAAGAAGAATAATCTATTTAAACACCTCCCAATCCTATGAATTTTTTTTCTTTTCTTAGTTTCAACTGAATTTTCAGGGTTAGCATCTTCTTCATCCTCATCAACTTTCTCCTAAGTAACTTTGTTTTTCTCTGCACTATTATTATCATTCAAAGTGTCGGTATCAATTTCATTAACAATTTGTACTTCAATAATCGGCTTCTCATTTTCTAGATTCAGTAACTTATTCTCCATAAGTGCGGTTATCATATTGAATGAAAAAGAATAAACAAAATAATTAATGATATTTGAATATTATAATTAATGCAACCCATGTTATCGATTTTGTAATAATAATCAAGCAAACTTATTGCCAATATGATATGCATATATGTAAAAAAAAAAAAGATATTTGTATAATAGTGTTTGTATGATGAGATACCCACCTAAGAAGGCAAGCATGCAGTTTAATAGATCTTTATAAATGATAAATATAATAGTAATACCTCTAAGAGTTCAGAGAAAAGGGAAAGTAAAATGAATTTCAAGAAGCGCATAGGAAGAAATCTTTCCTAATGGCATTAGACTTATGTATTTACAAATCAGACATCTAAATTTTCATATTTACACATATCACTTAAATATTTAATATCACATAAAATATACCACTATTACTACTTTTTTAAAAGTGAAATACACATGAATTGTGTGGAATGTATGTAAATTTCACATAATAATTTATACAAATATACATGCACAGATACATACATACATGTACATAATATAAGTACATTTGCTAATCCATTGTTAAATATAAATGCATAACTTGAATATTTTGTAATTTGAAAGTTCAACAAGATTTAAACAAATGTTTTTGGTATAAATAACACCACTATTGTATGCATCAACCATTTTCTGTCAATATTAGCACCTCTGAATGACCTTAAACAGTTTATAATATATATGAAGCATTATGAAACATCAGACTATAGTTTTTTTCCTTGAATTAAAACATTAATCAGTTCACACTTAAACTATATATACATACACAGTTACATACTCAATATTTAGATAATAAAATAGGTCTTAGTAATAATTTTTCTGGTTTTAAATAATAATATGAAATAGGGCTAAGTGACAGAGCTTTAAAAAAAAAAATTTGAGTTCTAGTGAATGAGGATCTTGAAATTTCAAATAAAAGCTAATCTAAACCATGGAAATTTAGAATCTTTAATTTAATCCGGAGTTAGAACAGTGATATGTTCTTTCTTTCCCAAAATAATTCCTAAAGGCTCATAATTTTTTTGTGGCAAAGACCAAAGAGACTTACAATGTTGATTCTGTTGAGCAAACAGCCAACGACAGCCACCAAGACTGGGATACTTGGCTACCTGATCAGCGAACGACGAACTCAGGTTGCAAGCAAGCGATAAAAAGAGAGAAGAAAATCAAGAGATTATGTTTTAGAATAGACCTGCAAGATGCCTCGCGGCCTACACCGGAGACTAGAGATCGATTCGGCGAAGAGACGAGCGGGTGAGGCCTGGAGGCAAAAGAAAGACGCGAGACGTGCGAGTTGTGGCTGCGACGGAATGCTTGGTAGCAGGATTTGAGCAAGATTAAACCTAAATCCTGCTAAACAGCACAAATGACAATTTAAAATCCTACAGGATCTTGAATCCCGTTCTTCTCCGTTTTGCCTTAAATCCTGGATTTAGTACGTCCAGTTCGAAGGTGGATTTACGGGATATGGCGGGGCTGAAGCGCGCAAACGGGGGTGAGAGGAAGGGAGAGGGGAAGACAGAGAGGACGGCGAGTCGGGCAGGAGTACGGGAGCTTCACAGAACTTTGCACGCCGCGATCCCGTCCTTTATATTCCCAGCTAGCTCCAGTGCCGACTATATCGCGACGGTTTCGGAAACGATGGGAGGATGCAGTTAGCCCAAGGCTTCAGGCGGAACTGGTAGTGGGGGTTAACGAGATAGGCGAAGTTTGCGGGCAGGACGTGGTGGCAGCCGAAGATAGCTTTCGGAATTTAATATAATTTTATTTAATATTTACTAATTAATAAATATGATATTAAATTAATTATAATTAATTTTATAAACTTTAAGTAATTATTTTTTAACTAATTAAAAGAAATTCAATTAAATATTAAAAAGTAATTAAGTTTATCAAATTAATTAATTAATTAATAATAACTAATCAATAATTAATTAATGAATAATAATATTACATCATAAAGAATTAGTTTGAGAATTTTTTCTTGATGATTAATTAATTTAATAAATAGTTAATTATTAATCTAAATAATTAGAAATAATGGTTAAGATCAGATTAAATAAACATAATAATTATATTAGCAATATGTAATATTAAACTCATATTTAATCTAACATATTTAATCCTAGAATAAAAATATGTTTGAATTTATTAAATTTGGATTTATAGGAGTTATCATATCCTGCTTGCAGTCAATTAGCCTAGGGCAGTTGAAAATAGGTTTTATTGCTTATTAGCACACTCCATAGCTATTTCTCGTCTGTTGACTAAACTTGTGATTGCGATTAAAGTCGTTGTTCAAGCTGCTTGACAAGCTAACTAGTCGAGTCACCCAAAACTTGAGTTTGAGCTTGATAAAGAATTGAGTTATACTCTAGCTCGTGGCTCGAGGCTCGATAAGCTTGGCTCGTGAGCCTATTATTGAGTTATGCTCAAGTGGGCTCTCTTGCCAGCTTGAGTCACTTGCAACTTATCGTTGATGTGTTCCACTTGAGCTTCATGACGAGTTCCTCTCCTTTGATTTGAGAATTGGGGAGCGAGTGGGCATGAGAGATTCGTTATAAAAGTAGATTAATTACATTTTTGATAGATAAATATATTAACATTATTTTATTTTATTTTATTTTATTACATTATTTTCTTAATTAAAAAATAAGGATAATTACATACAAAATACCCTGAAATATCGATGTTTACAAATAAACCACTCGGGTGTTTTTTTTGAACTACCGAACAGGTGTATTTATGTGTGTCATGATCAAACTATTGAGAACTTGATATAAATGAAAAATATGGGTTGGGGATTTACGTTGAATTTTGATGTTTGAGTGCGAATTTTAAAAATGGATGAAAGATGGTGCTTGATTTGTAAATAATGACCTTTGGTTGGTTTGTACATAATTGCTCGTAAAAATCATTAGCATTAATAATTAACATTAAATAACTTCAAAATCAATTTAAGGGGTCAACAACTAACATTCAAACCAAAGCAGCCGACCAAACTAAGTTTGGCGACCCATGGACCTAAAAAGTCAACCAACTATTCTTAGCCAAGCCGACCGACTGTCCTTAGCCAAGTCGACTGACTGTCCTTGGCGTGATCAACCGTCTAACCAACGTATAAAAGCCGATTATCTACCCTGACTTAGCGAAATCTACCGGATGAACCTAGCCGACCCAAGGACCACCAATTTTAGGCGATTGAATGACGGAGCAGTCGAGCTAGAGTTTTATTTATTTATTTATTCATGTATTTCTTTATGACAAAAATATCTTTCAACGACCTTATTGAAGTAGGGATAAATAGGTATTGTACACTTTATACCCCTCCCCCCCCCCC